GTTTTGCATGTATTAGTAGTCCGGGCATGGGATCGGACTCTGCTAAAACTAAACGAAACACAGAAAAATACCACCAAAATGTAGAATCTGAATCTGTTCTCTTACCAGCAAATAAAATGAACGAAAATAAGGTAATTTTATAACAAGAACAGTTTCATTTCGTATAGCAAATTGTGTTGTATCCGAATGACGATTGCATTGTGTGATTTAAATTTATCACGATTTTCCTTGCAGTCAATATGACACTCGTCACCTTGCAGATTGCAATGTACTTCGCAAAGTTTTTGGTACCCAATACTTGCAACATTAAATAATTAAACAAGATATCTTTTTAAAATGTCATTTTACTCTTGGTCATATTATTTTATTCCCCTTACCGCTTTGAATTTCAAATCGATTACATATCGAACTTCTGTACATGTGTTTTTTCTCTACTGCCTTTCCATGTGAAAATAATGAGGTCATACTCATGTCACAATACTTTGAAGCTGATGCCATGTTGATGCCATGAGACTGCGAAGCTGAGGCCACGATGATGCCACAAAATAAGAGAGGCGAACACAGCTTCAATTTTCAATGACGCGAAGCTGATGCCACAATGATGCGATGCTGAGGCGACAATGAAGCCATGCGTATGCGACAATGCCACAAAAGCCAAAGCTTCCGCGAGAACTGTACTGTATGCTTGTACCTCTGTAATGCTGTTTGTAGCTTCAGGTTGTTTTGGTGTATTCTGAGAATTATTTGGACAGTCAGTTGGCAAAATGTCCTGCAACTTTGCAAAACACTTCGGTTTTTATCCAATCTAGACTTGACACACGCATAGCTCAGTTTTTCAAAATGAAATGCATTCACTAAGAATATACAGGTTATTTTGGAGTGTTTTAATATTTCTTGAATAACATACAAGTAAATAAAGAATAAATTAAAAATAGTTAAATATGTACACTATGTTTGCAAATCTTAATGTTGATCACCCTATGAAATAGGGAATCATAACGGAGCACTCCTTCTGTCAAGCAATGCCATCGAATCTAGAACAAAGCAACTGCCAAAGTGCTTTGTGTGGTTGCGAACCATCTTGCTAAATTGACTGTCTGAATAATTCTGAGAACTGATGTAACTGGTAATTTTAATACATAACTGACTGTAGTTCTGATATAACAGGTTGCATAGTACCTGTAGATGCACACTGCTTAATATAAATACTACATCACAACCTTTCCTGCTAATCCACTGATAATTACTTTCTTTCTCCCTCTCTCTCTCGCATGCCAGGGTACACTAATGTTAGTGGGTGTAATCCTGTCAAATATTTGTGGTGATATGTCTCGTATTTGAGTGATAGTGCCCATGCTTTGACCAATTGCATTTAAACTTTGCACTCATACTATACATCAATTAACACATATGTACATGCATCATGATTGATTTTAAGATGGCTGAATGGTGGCCATTTTAATGTTATATTTAACACACACACAAAATGGCTCCAGTTTGTATCATATGTCATACATGTACCAGCACTGTCATACCCCTCTTAACAACAATACTTAATACTTAACCACAAACCAACTTGATATGTTTTATTGGTCGTTGCTTTCTTCTACAATTGCATGATTTCTTTTCACACATAGTTTACCCGTACTCTGTCTGTGTTCAGATACCCAATTCAGAAGCATAGTGGGAACACCAATTGGTAAGGCATCAGAACAGTGTCGCTCGCCATTTCAAAATGTTGCAATTATTATTGAAATGTAGTCAGTCATGGATATTTTTACTACACATAAAATGTCATCACACACATACGCAAAAAATGACAAATACTGATGTAAAATTATTTTTATGTGAAAACATCATTTCACTGGGTCCATGTTATTCATTCTCTGAAAATACGAAAGTATTAAAACTATTAGTACAGTGTGACTTCAATATACAGCAAATAAAACTAGTCCACTGATAATTTTACAGATCCATCCCTGGCACTGATTGCCCTAAAATTATCTAATCTTACACATAACTGACAGTGATAATTATGGTGTATTATTTTGTGAAGATAACATCACTTAAACCTAACATGTCTGTCTATTGTCAGTGACTTTGGTACACAATGTTGTCTTGCTAGATAGTGGTGAATCAACAATTATCTAAAATGTTCACTAAAATCTTTTCTATACCTGCAAATTAATTTGTCTATGTGTGTATTTTATGTAGGTGGAATGGTGTCCACTCTTACTTGTAATGGTTTACTAACGTATGTTTATGTCCTCACCTGTAGTTCTCCAACGATGTGTTTCTTTGTTTTATAGGGCTCCACCAGTAAGCTAGTGAGCGAAATTGCCAGAGCCCGACAGAACATCCAAAACACTCTTAATTCTACTGGTGTGAGTACACCTGTCTAACTCTTATAAGAATCAATACATGATTTGTTTTTCTGTTAATTAATTTGGCAAGCGTCCCATCTCATTAAGTAATGTGAATGATGTACAGTGTTTTCTTTTGTCTGTCAGTCATATGTACAATATTAGTGTCTTAAATTATCCTGCATCATTTGACTTTAGTAGACACATACTATTCACTGCTTTTTCTTTAATTTTATTCTTGAATTTCATCTAACCTTGTGTTTTACAGCCAGTCTTGGAGATGTAGGGACAGCAAGTTCTTGATAATTTGCTGACAACTTTGATACAATTTGATGATTACTAAACTTCATTAATGATTTGACAATCCTTTTTAAAGAAAGCTACAGTGCCAATTAATGGGCCTTCCTCCTGTCGATAGCAACTACCCACTGAGAAAATAATATACAAGATTTTCCAGAACTGATCATGACATATAATAGAATTTTAATGTAATTGCATGACTGTGGATTAAATAGTATTTCATTGTCACTTTCTACTGCAATATTGATTGCTACTCGATGTATGCGACCACTTGTTGGCACAGCACATATGTCTAGTCAAAACTCAAGTTGTCAGCAAATTAATCAAGAACTTGGTTACTTGTGGCCTCAATACTTTTGTAATTTGCTGTAATTATTAACACTCCCCATCTTGCTCTGTGGTATGCAAGATTGTATTTTATGCTGTATGTTGCATGTGACACCAACACACAATTGTATTAGCGTGCATGACTTGTGCAGTCTTGTAATTCACTGTGTATACATTATATGGATAGCTCATTGGTTCTTATATGAACATTTAATAAATTTCCTGAAATGATTGTCTGTTTGAATGTGAATAGTTTTTTCAAGACTGATCAAACTTGGGTGTCTGGTAAACTAATAGTGCATTCAATTGTATGTACACATGCATTGCCAAGTGTAGGCTTTGAGCATTCCTCAATGTTTTCATTGTTAAGACTGTGTTCATCATATATTTTTTACAGGGTACTGGATTAGCTGTTGGCCTTGCAGTGGAAAATAGTCAAGTCAGTGAACTGAAACAGAGATTGAGTGTGGTAGAACGAGAGAATAAGGACCTCAAAAGAGGTAATAACTCATTTCACTGGAACACACCAGAATTATGAAGCCACGTATATTAATATTTAATCGAATTTAAGTCAAGTTTGTGAAGCTTAGGTTTAGTATCGGGGGAAGGTATGGTACAATTATATTAATATAAATTATACAATGGTATAAATTGAACCATACCCTCCCCCGATACTAAATCTATGCTTCGCAAACATTTTTATGTTCAGTCACGAGATATTTTTGTTTAATTAAACCTAATTAAAACGCAATCCTATATAGAAACGCGTTTAATTGAGTTCATATCGCAACTATATTAAAACTTAATTCAATGTGTGGCGTCACAACTAAGGTTACACGAGTATGTGTGTGTGAGTGAGTGAGTGAGTGAGTGAGAGAGTGTGTGTGTGTATATACCGTTGAAGTCCTAATATAAACCGCATACGTAATAGTAACCAACAAAAATTGAAAACTTGAAAAGTACCTATTACTAACCGCACCCCCAATTCAACAAGGCCGTGACTGACTTCATTGTTTCAACCAGCTGTTCCAAAACGGCATTGTTCCTAATCCTATTCATTTGTTTCGACAACATGGCTAAAAATATTCACACCTATTTATTGTTCAGCGGTGATAAGATGTCAGACAGGCAATGAAACTGCTTTTGTTCTGGCGGCGACCTCTGTCAATACTCTTTCTGAATACGTCTGTGTTTCATAAGTTTTAGACAATGAGCTTTTATCATCGTAAAAGTGTTAAACTGAGCATTGAAGAATAATTTATCTTTCGAAAACAAATAATTTCTTGATTTAAAAAAAAAATCATGCCGTTTTCCCATGGAAATCAAAGGCAAAAGATCACACTACATTATCGGTAAATCTCTTCCGTGTTCACCATGAGGTCGCTGAACTGTCATTAACATATTTAAATGAGCTATGTAATTTAGACACGTGGGCACCATCCAGCATTTTTACCTTGCCCATACCATCAAAGATGGAAGGGAAAGGTATATTAAAGGAAAAATTTTGTCCGGCGTCGTCGTCGTAGTCGTAGTCGTCGTCGTTGTCGTCGTCGTTAATAATTGTTATTGTGTGCATAATAACTTTACTAATTCTATTCCAAACTTTATCAAACTTGGTCACCTTATTCATCAGT